GGACTTGCGATGGAGCAGCGAGGCGATACGCGACCACTGATTTTTCCCATATTTCATCACCGCCGCCTTAAGGATCTCATCCTGAAAACATCAAAAACAAACAATTAATTTATCTAAAAATGTCTTTATAATCTAAATCAACTTCTAGCCTCGGGATGATAAAATAACTAATAATGAGCAACATCCCTCCCATCCTTAAAAGGAGCGGGTGGCTTGTAGAGCTTTGCTGCTTCCGCATCCAAGCTAAGGTAAACAGGCATCTAAACAAATCAAAATCAGGTTGTTGATTATTTGTTTTATACAATAAAAATTATTCCATCTGATTAACTGATAATCCTTATTGTTGTAATGTTGCAGGCATTCACTGCAGGGAGCTGCTGTCCAATCTAAGCAGAATCTGACTGGTATTTACAAGAGAAGTAATGCCAGAGTGAAGGGAATCTTAGAGCAGAAACATGAACGGATTCAGAGTCCGGACCAGATTATTTCCACTGCTCAGTTAACTTTATGTGGTTCTGTTTGTAAATTTAAACACTGGATAAACTCCTGAAGTTCTCCCCTAAATAGGTTCATTTAATTTAACCCTGTTTAAAGGTGCTGCTAGCCGCACAAAGTCTCTCTGCACTGGAAGCTGGATTCCACTAAAAACAGAGAGCTACATTACAGTTACATCTTCTAAATACGTTTAATAATGCGTAGGAAAACATTTATTTGTTTATCCAGTCAGTGTATAATACAGTTACAACATATATGTTCTCTTTTTATTGTTTAACTGAGCATAATGCAAATAAATAGTCTTCATGATCCAAGAGAGAACAGAGGTTCTTCAAAAAAAATTTATTTTGAAATTAATCCTTAGTTGTTCGATAAGATCAATCATCTTTAGATTAATTCATGAATTGATAACATCCGTCCCTAATAGGGAAAATGAATCTGATTACTTCTGCAGCATCAGTTTCAGTAGCATAAATAATACAATCTGATGAGTGATGTGAAAAAAGAACAATGCTAGTCATGTTGGTAAAGACATGTAAAAATCCTTAAATGAATATATCTTATATTATGTTGATTCATTGCATTTTGTCTTTAATTAGTGGAGAAAACATAAGGATAAGCACCATCCCGGTGTAATTAGAGTTCAAATAACTGACTAAAACTCAAATTGCAATACAATTAGGATTATGCCAACAATTTATTTTGGCATACCGGTAATCTTAAAAAAATTTATCTAACTGAAATTTTTCATTCTGAGTTTGTATAAGTCCACTGAGATGGTGCACTTTGGTAAAATGAAGCCTCTAACAAATAATTTCTTTTTTTAACATAGTTGGTTGTATGTTTTTTTTTCTTTGTCTTTTTTGCTGTTTTCTCTCTGTTTCTGTCCAAAGGATCTCTTTCCTTTCTACTGCTTTTCTTTCTTCTGTCTCTGTCAGGTTCGGTATTATTAGTAACATGTACATGTAAAAAGAAAGAAAAAAAAAAAAAAACAAGAATAATAATTTCTTCCAATTATTCAGATCAGATGCACACTAATCTGGAGGCTGGGCTCTGCCCACACCAAGCCATCCTGCTGCCATCTTTACTCTCATGATATTGCATTAGATTACACTTGTCCTGCACTACATAAATATTAAACTCCCTAAAAAAAGGATCTGGAGTTCAATAAGCTTGACTTNGCAATATCAGGCTGAACGGCGGCCCGATCAAAAACTTCTCACATCACTGGAGATTCGGCCCAAAAGGGCAAAAAATCCTACAGTGTGTGAAGCTTTAGCGGTGAAATGAACATTTCCATTTATAAAGTGCAGCAGTGATCAAATGTGGAATTGTTGAGAGCTGTAGAGGGCCACTGCCTATAGGTGGCGCCATTTTTAGCCTGTTTCATTACAGAGTTATTGCATAGAAATACATATAAACCAGTTTTCATTTGACAGAAAAGGGTGATAGATGCAAAGATCCATCATTATTATTTTCTATAGCTCTTGACATTTGCAGTTTTGTTTTTTTAAATACGATATTTTGAAGCTGATGCTCAAAGCTCCCACAATATGTTTAGCAAGTAATATCCAAAAAAATTAGGCAAAGTAATTATAATTTAAAAGGAAATATTTGGAAAACGGAGGTTAAAAACTACAGTAACGGATTTAGAAAACGCATAAAAAGTTTAACACAATGGTGAACGGGGTTCAAATTCTCGAGTTTTTTGCGATTGATGTTAATGTTTGAAATACCTTCATAAACCAGCAGCTGGTTTTGTTTCAGTATTTATCAGGTAAATATGAAGGTTTATTTAGTTTGCATCATTTGATCAGACCACGTTTAGTTTGCCAATCACCTTCGTCCATGTCCACGGGGTCGGGTCTGGCAGGTTTGGTCTCAGGGTTGGGATCGATCTCTCCTGGTTTTAACTTCCTGGGATCATCTCCCACCTCTTCCTCGTTCTCCCTCTGGGCGGCTTTGTCTCTAAACCAGCAGAGAAGACAGAGTGGGATGAAGGAAGCCATCTAAAAGGAGGAAGTCTGCTTTGGACTGAGCGGAGAGCGTCTCATACAGCAGGTATTCGTAATGCTCCAGACACTGGGCCGCGGTGCGTCCAATGATGGGAGCGATGGTCCTCCACTGAGTGGGCATCAGCTTGGCCAGGTGAAGCAGCTTCTCCTCCTCTTCTCTGGACCATTCTGTCTTTTTGATGCTGGGATCCAGCCACTCGTACCTACAGGCACAATGAGAGCCACATTTATGATTGATTGACTTTACTGATCTCACAGGGGAGAAATTTACTCGTTACATCAGCTCAAACAGTCAAAGAAGAAGAATGTGCCAAAGGAAGTAAAAAGTGCATTGGCATGGGCGGGTCTAGACAGGGGCCAATGGGGGGCCCCTTTACTGAAGACATAATACTCAAAGAAATTCTAATGATGATATTGGTTTAAACAACAGACATGGTTACTGATAGGTCCTTTGGATCCATTTCAATTTTTCTTTACAAATTCTGTTTTTCTAATTATTTAAAAACAATAAGGCGATAGCTTCAGTGGTGTTGAGATAGGATCCCAGTTGTCAGTCATCTGCTAAATGTTTTTATTTATTTTTTGAAACAAATAAAAAAAAATTCTAATTTTTTACAGCTGAATTATCTGTTTTTCTTGAGTTCTAATTCAGATTTTATAGAAAACAGTCATTTTTACTTAAATTAGGTGAAAAATATGTAAAATTCCTAAATTCTGAATGTATATTGACCTAATAAGACATAAAATTTTTATTAAACCTAATTGAATAGAAATTTCCCATCATGCAGCTATCTTAATTTATTTTAACAGGAAGAAACCTCCAGCAGAACCAGGATCAGCGTGCGCTCTATATATTGCTATATTTTTCCCAGCTATCAAAATTAAATGTTTAGATAAAAAAAGCAAGTGCTGCATACAGTAGCAGCCATTCAAAATGGCCGTTCCCAGTCAAACGCCAGCCGAATGGCAGCAGACTCCCCTGCACTCCCTGCAAATTCCCCTGAAACTTCCAGCCACTGCAATGACCCCCCCCCTTGCATATTTTTTTTTACTCTGACCCTTTCTCCAAATTACAGGGAGATTAAGCTTCTCTTTAGATCTTAATGTCCACAAATCATGACAGAAAGAATATTTTAGTACAATTATTGATGTTTAAAAATGAATTATAGGAGACCAGCCAAGGAAAGTGGGGACATTTTGAACGGCTACTACTGTAGATCCATCAGAAGATAAAGATCAATCAGTTAATTTGGTATCCATGTTATTTGGGATTTGAATCAGTGCTACAGATGTGGAGCTGCTCCACACAGCAAAAGGGCTCCACAACTCTATCTGTGGTGTTACAGAGGCAAAAATGTTTTGTTTTTGTAAAATCGATGCTGGGAACTTAAAGATCGATATATATAAAATCCCAACATATTACCAAATCAATTTCCCCCTACATCCCTTGCACCTACATATGACAGTTTTTTTTTAATAGTAGGATCATTATACGGGGTTATGTACATGTATTTACACTAAGCAGCATATTCCAGAGGAGTTTTTACTGAACAGCGTGATATAGTGATCAGTGTCTCGGTTTGATGACTCACCAACGGGCTTTGCACTGTTTGGCGGACTTGCGATGGAGCAGGGAGGCGATACGCGACCACTGATTTTTCCCATATTTCATCACCGCCGCCTTGAGGATCTCATCCTGAAAACATCAAAAACAAACAATTAATTTATCTAAAAATGTCTTCATAATTTAAATCAA